TATATATATATATATATATATATATATATATATATATATATATATATATATATATATATATATATATATATATATATAAAAGCTTGATGTTATTGATAATTATGTTGTATTGAGCTGAATTATCTTTATTGCAAATTGCATAATATTCTGGTGATAAATTGGATATGAGAGGTTCAGCAATTAGGCCCTTTTGGTCATTAAAAACTTTATAGGACCAGTACAAGCTGGTCGCTAAAAATATATAAGCACCAGATGGGTCTTTGTCTAGGACCAGAAATGTGGTCGGTAAAAGTATTTTTAGGACCAGAAGTATGCTGGTCGTAAAAACACTTTAAAGACCAGCTTCTAAACTCGTCGTTATTGACTTTTAGCGGCGGAGCCTTTAGCGACCGGCGGCGACCAGATTTTCCTGGTCGCTATTGACCTTTAAAGACCAGAATTGGACTATTAGGGACCAGTTTTCTCGTCCTTGAAGACCATTTTTCCTGTAGTGCACGAAAATCAGGGAATCAAGCAAAATTCTAATTTTATGACCTTAAAAAGCCAAAAAAATGAGGAACGGTCATGTCAAGGCGATTACTATTGTTCCTTAGGACGTTTTTGCTGGGCCAACTAAATTTTTGGCGATCCGGTTTGGGGCGCCCAGACCCATACATATGGCATGGGTTATAGCACACGAAAATACGAGAATCGGGTGGAATTCTAGTTTTATAGCCTAAAAACAAGAAAACATGAGTAACAGACAAGGTGAGTCGATGAATATTGTTCCTTAGATTATTTTTTATGGGCCGGCAAAATTATAGACGATCTGGGTTCGATCGCCCAACCCACGAAAATCTAAAAATCTGTCAGAATTCCAGTTTTATGCTAAAATGCCAAAAAATAAGAGATGATCATGGCGATGTGATGACTATTGTTCCTTAGGTCATTTTTAATGAGTTAGTACAATTTTAGGCGATCCGGGTCCGGTCGTCCGGGACTCATGCGGATGGCATGGGCTATATCACATGAAAATATAGGAATCGGGCGAAATTCTAGTTTTATGCCTCTAAAAGCGAAAATATGAGAAACGGTCATGGCAAGGCGATGACTGTTGTTCCTTAGAACGTTTTTCATAGGCCGGCAAAATTTTTCGCGATTCGGATCCGGTCGCCTGGGCCAATACAACTGGCGTGGGCTATAGCATACGAAAATCTTGTAATCGGGCAGAAGTTTAGTTATATGGCCCTAAAACGCAAAAAAAAATGAGAAACAGTTATGGTGAGGCGATGACTATTTTCCCGTAGGTCGTGTTTTATTGGCCAACAAAAGTTTAGGTAATCCGGGTCCAGTCGCCCGAACCAAGTCAAATGACATGGGCTACAGCACACCAAAATATAGGAATCAAGCGAAATTCATGTTTTATGGCCCTAAAATACTAAAAAAAATGAGGAACAGTCATGGGAAGGTGATGACTACATTTCCTTAGGTCATTTTCGTGGGTCGGAAAAATTTTTTTTGCGATCAGGGTCACGTCGCCTGGATCCATGTAGATGGCTCACACACACAAAAATCTAGGAATCGGGTGCCCTAAAGCACCAAAAAATAAGGAACGATCATTGAGAAATGATGACTATTGTTCCTTAGGTCATTTTTATGGGCCGGCAAAATTTTAGCTGATCTGGGTCAGGTCATCCGAACCCATATAGATGGTGTGGGCTATGGACACGAAAATCTAAAAATCAAACGGAGTTCCGATTTTATGGCCCTAAAATGCTAAAAACGAGGAACGGTCATGGCGAGACGCTAACTATTGTTCCTTGAGTCATTTTTGAAGGGCCAGCAAAATTTTAGGCAATCCCTGTCTGGTCGCCCGGGCCCATGGAGATAGTGTGGGCTATAGCACACAAAAATTTACGAATCGGGCAGAATTCCCGCTTTGTGGTCCTAAAATGCAAAAAAAAAAAAAAACAAGGAACGGACATGTCGAGGGGATGTTTATTGTTTGTTTAGGTCATTTCTGATGAGGCGGCAAAATTTTAGATGATCCGGGTCCAGTCAACCAAACCCATGCAGATGGCGTGGGCAATAGCACACAAAAATCTCAAATCAGGCGAAATTTAAGTTGTACGGCCTACAATGCCAAAAAAAGGAGAAACATTCATGGCGAGTGATCGCAGCCAACCCTGCACTACTATCAAGTAGCCAGAGAGGTCGAAGCAGCTTTTACCCGATTTAGGGTCGGGATCGAATTCCAAAGAGAGCTAGATATTGGAGTTGGGTGTCTATCTAAACTGGAGTTATGTATTTGCTCCAAATTGCACTTCTACACATTTTTGGGTTTTAATTATGATTCTAATTCTATAAACTACAATGCTCAATCAAACTACAATAAGCTAGGATTAAACTATTGCAAGTTGATCAAATGATTAAAGGGCACTAGGGTAGTGACCTTTGCCTAGGTGGTCTATTGACGGAATCTTGAATCTAAAGCTAGATTGACACATTTGGGGAGTATGATATAACCATTGCTCGATTCTACTCACTCTGTACCTCTCGGTAGTTCGAGTGATTTTGCCCGAATTGACTTTCTCAAGACCAATTAGGTATGCGAATTTGCACAAGCACTTGAGGATCAAGTCGGGTATTACGATCTCTCGGTTTAACCCTTTAATTGGGGCTATCAATTCTCTTAAGTACGCCCCAATTCCTTGTTGGACTAATTCTAGAGACTTAGGCTCTCTTTCTCAAGAAGAGCAAAAGTCAACTAAACACAAACTAGTGTTTGCAACCACTAATTTAGCAATTAAATATGGAATTAGCCCAAATATCAAACACCCATAGTCAATCAAGCTCTAAAATACAAGACCCATCAATTACCCACACTAGGGTTGAGCCACAATCCTAGCTGATGGGTCTAGCTACTCATAATTAGAGGAAGAAACAAAGAAATAGATGAAGAAAAACTCATATTAATTAATTACTAAGATAAACTAGAAGATTCAATGTTGAAATGAAGATAAAATTGCCCAAAATAACTAAGGAAACGGAAGTCACGAGCGCACCTCAGTACATCTATCTACTTGACCTAAAAATGGAAAAGAAGCTATTTATACTAAGCTGAAATGTCTCGACAAAAATACCTCTGCGGGGTTAGTGCGGACCGCATACAATGGTGCGCGGCCGCACTAGGGCTCTGAACACAAAATTCCAGCTCGCTGAACTCAGGCAATGCGGCCACAGAATGGTGTGCGGCCGCGGTGGCTTCTAGTGCGGTCCGCATGAAATGGAGCACGGACTGCATTGGCTTCAATCTCCGAAAATAGCAACTCTTTGATTCTTGGTTGTGCCGATAGCACTAAATCGAGTGCGGCCGCAGTAACTTCAATGCGGACCGCATTAAATCCCATGCGGCCACATTGCCTAATTTGCCTGAGTTGCATACTCTCTGAACCTCACTTGTGCGGTCCGCACAGAATGGTGTGCGGCTGCACTGGCCTTATTTTGCCTGAGCTTTGTCTTGCCTTGATACTTGTGCAAGTTTCACTCCTTTTGAGCTGATCTTTGACATCTTGTCACCTTGTTGATCAAACCTGCAATCAAGCACAACTTGTGAGCCTTTTTGGGACTATTTGGTACAACTTTCTAATCAAAACATAAGCAAGGAGGAGTATAGAATGTATCAAAATCCTTAGTTATCAACTCCCCCAAACTTAAGCTTTTGCTTGTCCTCAAGCAACCAAAATAAGACCCACCCCTTAAGAGAAAATCCAAGACAATTCAGCTATCCTAAAGTGACCTCATCTAGCAGCAATTAGGACTAACAATTGCCCTCAATACACATGAATCATTAACAACATTTACTCTTTTAAAACACCATGGATCAAGTG